AGCCAGAGGTTGAGTCCTTTAAGAGGTCAGATTCTGAGGTCAAAGTGCGTTTGGCATAAGACAATTTAGCTGTCTTTGCTGGGGCTTTGCCAGCAGAAGCACTGTTACCCTTCCACGGGCGTTTACGTGGGGCTTCGTCATGGTCAGAGACCCTGGAATCATCAGAGTCTGACAATTGCGAGATGGTGGCAGTAGTGGCTGTCTGGTCACGAAATGCTGCCAAGGCTTTGAGGATAGAGTCTGCAATTGCAGCTTGAAGCCAGGCTTTTAATTCTGCTGACATTGCAGGTTCTGGTTGGTCCGACATGGTGACCAGTAAAATAGTAGTGGGTTCACCACAGAATCAGTATACCAAAAGGTATATTAAACAACTTTTATATAAATTCTTTTTTTTTTTATTTATTTTTTATTATATATATTAACAAACTTTACACAAAACAAGTAAAAGCAGGGGCTGTCTTATTGGGGTTCACCCAGATAATATGCAGTCACCTTTAAGGGGACCAAGTGGGGTTCATCCACAATTATGGCAGTTAAACTGTCAATATAATAATGACAGGGGTAACCTGTGCAAATCAATAAAATATATAAGGGGTTCACCCTGAGAGATAAGGCACGAGGGGGTCACCCTCAATAAAGAGGCACAAGGGGATCACCCTTAAATCAAAAAGGCAAGAGGGGGTCACCCTCTAATAGGCATAGAGCTGTATAGTATAGCTTGAGAGCAATCTGCAAATAAAAACACAAATAGGCTAATATAAGCAAGTGTTCTGTGTAATATTCAATATGTAATAACAAAATGTACCAGCAGGGGGCAATGAAACTTACCGTCTAACAGAGGTGCAATCCAGTAGCAGAGAGCTGTTCACCGAAAGAGCGCGCGAACGGAAACTAACCGCCGAACAGAAGATGGCCGCCGGCATAGAAGGAGGAAGGCGGGAAACTGCGTGTCAATCAAATGACGCGAAAAAACGGGCGGTACGGAAATAAATCGCGGGCGTGATTAAAACGGACCGCAGCCACAGCAGTGGCGCGGTCTGAAGATAATTTCACCAAGGAAAAGGTTATTAAGGTTTTACTACAAAAAAACCCAGTCAGTCATAAATAAAGTCACAGGGAAGGGACTGAACAGTGGGCTGACCTGTGAAAGGTCTATGTGGTAAAGTGCACAGATAAAATAAACACACCATTACCTCATGGAAATAAAAGAGACAGGGAAAGTTAATTAAAGGAGTCAAAAAATATATGGAAAAAAACAATATAAGGTAGGTCAATAATATATATATTAGAGAGCTATAATTGGAATAGACTCACCTGGGAGGCAAGCAGCAAAGAAAGAGGATTTGGGAGGAGCCTGACAGACTGTTATGTTCTAATATGTGTCCTGATTGGTTGATTTTTTCTCTATATGTTTAACTATTTCTTTGCTGCTGGGAGGTTCAGTAAAGAAGGTTTAAGCAAATATGAAGCCTCCTGTCTTGCCATAAAATTCTATACCTAGTTGCCAACATATTTTAGATAATCTCAAAATGTGCAATAAAAAGTATTTAAAAATATTTGCACTAAAATCCTAACATTTCAATTCTAAAAATAGTATTAAAAAATAGTTTAAAGTCACAGACGCCAAGGAGGTGGTATATGTGTCTATAAAAAATGGCACAACTCGAAATCATTATTTAAACCATATGGAATTAGATTCAAAAATCCACCTAATTTCCGTCTGTCCCAGACTAAATAAAATCATCTCCTCTCCAATTGTAGAAAACTCTTTGAATACCTAAAAAATTCAGGTCTGTGTTGTGGTGTTCTTTAAAATGAAGAGAAACTTGATGTTGTGCATATCCCCTAGCAATGTTATAAATATGCTCACTTATCCTTATATGTAATTTACGGGTTGTGCGTCCAATATATTTTAATCCGCAAGGACAAGTGAGCAGATATACAACATTCCATGCCATGGCAACGCCGCCGATCTCGTGAGAGTGAACTCTAGCCCGCAGGTTAGAGTTCACTCACCACTGGACCACCAGGGATGGTGTAAGAGTTGCTTGTCGTCGTCCACATCTCTCCCAGGTCCCTCCCCCCAGGCTAAAGGTAAGAAGGGAGGGGGGGACATAATCCCTGCTTAGTTTTTTAAATTGTTTGCTTTTTAACCGCCCTTCCCCACATACAATCCCTTCTAACATTTACACTCAGCACTCTCACACACATCATCCACAGCACCCACACACACACAAATCACACACAGCACCCACACACAAATCACACACAGCACCCTCACACACATAACACAAAGCACCCTCACACACACAAATCTTCTTAATGGGCCGCTGTGATAAAAAAATGCCCAGGCAAAAATTTTTCCCCAGTCCGGCCAAGTACACATAGAATATAAATAGTGTGAGACAATAACAGCCTTCATTAAGGACTCAATGGGCAAGTCTAAACAACTCTAGAAGCCAAAAACAACTCTAGAAGCCAATTCCAGGTTAATAACACAAGTGAACATCAAACATGGCATATACCAAGGTGATGCACTATCCCCAATGCTGTTCTGCATAGGCCTCAACCCCCGTAGCCAGATGTTCATGAAGAGTGGATACAGATACATACTCAAGAGTGAAACTACCATAAGCCACCTACTCTACATGGACGACATCAAGCTGTGTGCTAAGAGTGAGCGGGATATTAACTCACTGATCCACCTAACTAGGATATACAGCAAGGACATCGGAATGTCGTTTGGAACAGATAAGTGTGGGTGGATGATAGTAAAAGGAGGGAAGATGATCAAGAAAGAAGAAGTTCAAGTACCAGAAGGCCAAATAGGAGATATAGAGAACCACTACAAGTACCAGCAGGTACCACAAACACATGTACCTCCACAGAGTCAGACAGGTTCTGGTAGGACATATGTATTGGCCATTTGCCAAAACGAGATCCAAGCCATCAACACATATGCCCTGCCAAATACCAGGTACCCAGCTGGAATAATAACCTGGCTAAGAGAACAGTTGGACACCATGCATATCAAAATCTGGAAACTACTAACTATAAAATCCTGCACCCAGAGACTGTACACCAGCCGGAAGGAAGGAGGTCAGGATTGATTAATGTCAAGGCCACAGTCCTGGATGAAACACAGAGCATCCACAAGTACATCACAAAGATTGCTCCCAAAAATGAACTTCTAAGGAAATGCCTGACACAACAACAGATAGACGATGCAGAAGAAAAGGAGGAGGTTCCATGGCATGACAAACCTCCCCATGGGATGTTCCACTAACAGAAAGTGATTGTGGCTCACATTACAAAATCATATCAGTGGCTGGAGAAGGGAGGACTGAAAGACAGCACTGAAGTACTAATCCTAGCAGCACTGGAACAGGCACTCAGGTCAAGAGAAGCAGGGGTCTACCAGGTAGTGGCGGCTCTAGACTTCATGAGGCCTTAGACAAAACTCAAACATGAGGCCCCCAGTAACAACCAAAGTGAAAATAAATAGGGCTTAATTGTGTGTGTATAAGGTGCTGTAGTTATATTGAAGGACTGGGTTGCAGCGCTGGATACAGAGAGCTAGTCTCTTTATTCATTGTTCAGCGGCTTGCAGTGTCATGGCTGCCTGTGCCACTGGATTGTTCGCTCTCTGACTGAAGTTGTGGCATAATTTGCTAACTAAATTAATTTGCAATGAACAAATTGAATTATCAATTATGCTAATCATTTATACGCAATTGCAGGGTATGGTTACATAGCCTGGCAGTTGTTTATACATAAGTGCAGGTGTGTGTATTTTTTAGTATGTCTGGCATTGTCTACCTGTGTATTTGTCTGAAAGTGTGTCTGACAGAGAGTATCCTTGTGTTTAACGGTATGTCTTTGTGAGCATGTGTTTGGGACCTATGTGTATGGGGTAGCTGCTAGCAGTGTGTTGTGTTTATGGAGGCTGCCTGCGGCCTTTGTGTGGCATTGTGTTATGGCACAGCTATGTTTCATGACTGTGTGTGTGTGTGTATGTCTTCAGTTGGTGAGTGTGACAGGGTGAGTTTGACATGGTATGGGGGGGTGGGGGGTGATTAATGAGACAGGGTTGGGGGGTGAATGTGACAGAATGAGGGAGTGTGAGAATGATAGTGGGTTGTGACATGGTTGGAGGAAGAAATTTGACAGGATTGGAGGAGGTAAATGTGACAGGGTGAGTGTGGCATAATTGGCGGGGTGGGGGTGTCACAGGGTTGAGGTGAATGTGTCATGTTTGGAGGAGGGAGTGTGATATAACAAGGGGAGGTGAGTGTGACAAGATTAAGGGTGGTTAATGTGACAGGGTGAGTGTGCAGGATTATAGGCATTAATGTGACAGGGTGAGTGTGGCAGGGCTGGGGGGGAGAGTGTGACAGGGTTTGGGGTAAGTGTGGCACAGTTGTAACAGGATGAGTATAGCAGGATTAGAGGCCTTAATGTGAAAGGGTGAGTGTGGCAGGATTGGAGGGGGAGAATGTGACAGGGTTTGGGTGAGTGTGCAACAGTTGGAGAACAGAGCAGTTTATGTGGATGTGACAGACTGATACACGATGAGTGCGACAGGGTTGGGGGTGAGTCTGGCAAGATTGGGTGGTTAATGTGATAGGGAAAGTGTGGCAAAGCAACAGTGAGTTTGGTATGCTTGGAGGGGGTGAGAGTGACAGGATTGGGAGGGGTTAATGTAAGTGGAGCTGGGAGAAGGGGGTGACAGTGTGTGGGGGCTGAAAGTACTTGTGGATGGTGATAGTTTATGGAGGGGATGTCAGTGTGTGTGTGTGTGGGGATGATAGGTTGTGACAGAGTTTGTGTTGGGTGACAGGGTGTGTGTGGGGGGCAGTGGTGTATTTTGAAACGGTACTGCCCTAGGCATGACAGATCTCGGGCACCCCCTAATTAAAATTTACCTGCCCCTTCCTGCCAAGTCCACACCTCTTCCTGTTAACTAACACACATTTTGACTGACATGCACTCAGGGACCAGCACACACTCTCAGATACACTGACATATACACACATACCCTCACTGATTTGACACAATCTGACAGACACATACAATCATTCAGACACACACTGACAGACGCATACATTCACTGACAGACACACATAAGCACTGACAGACGCGCACACTCACTCAGACACACACATTCACTGGACACACACACTCACAGACACTGACAGAAAAAACACAAACTCAGTGACAGACACACAAACTCACATTCACCGGGTCGCGTGAGGGAGCTGAGCAGGGAGAGCTCAGGGGAGAGTGCTCCCTCACCGCCCCGTGGGAAACAAATGGCTGCCTGCCCCGGGGGGTCCAAAGGTGGCCAGCCGGCCAGCTCTTGGGCCTCCATAAAACTAGGCTAACAAGGCATTAGCCTGGGCATTTGGGGGCGGTGTTTTTTGCCACCCCCTGGAAAGTGCAGTCCAAGGCAAGTGCCTTGTTAGCCTCGCGGTAGATACAGCCCTAGTGGGGGACTGTGACAGGGTGTGTGGGGGTGGCTGTGACGGTGTGTGTGGGGTGACAGGGTGAGGGTGGCTGTTACAAGGAGTGTGTAGTGCAAGCATGTCAAACTCGCGGGCCACATGAGGCCCACAAGGACCATCTTTGTGGCCCAGTGAGCCGCGATTACATGCTGGTGTTATAGCAGAGCAGGCACCTGCTTTCCCCTCATTGCTAGTGCCTAACACTTACCTGGCCGGGGAGGAGGGCCAGCGAGGGAGCTCAGTGTTCCTGCTCCTCACTGCTCCCTGGCGCGCGCCGTCTGCAGTGAAGCCGGGCGCCGGAATATGACGTCATATTCTGGCACCCAGCATCACTAAACCGTGCGAGGGAGCAGTGAGGAGCAGGAAGGAGATCTCCAGACAGAAGATCCCCACACCAGCTCCCAATGGTAGGGCACAATAAATTAAATGATGTGAGTGCAATTATGTGTAAATGTCTGTGTGTGTCTGTCTGTGTGTGTGTGTGTGTGTGTGTGTGTGTGTCTGTCAGTGAGTATGTGTGTGTGTGTCTGTGTCAGTGAGTATGTGTGAGTATGTCTGTCTGGCACTTAGTATGTGTGTGTGTCTGTGTGTGTCTGTCAGTGAATATGTGTGTGAGTTTGTGTGTGTCTGTCAGTGAGTATGTGTGTGTGTCTGTGTGTGTGTGTCTGTCAGTGAGTATGTGTGTGTTTGTCTGTCTGTCAGTGAGTATGTGTGTGTGTGTGTGTGTGTATGTGTGTGTGTCTGTCAGTGAGTATGTGTGTGTCTGTCTGTCAGTGTGTCTGTATGTGTGTGTCTGTCTGTCAGTGAGCATGTGTGTGTGTCTGTGTCAGATCAGATTTGGCACAGGGTGGTAGAGGGGGTGCTGTGGTTTAATAGAGGGTGGGGGACTGGGATTTAGTAGAGGGGGATGCTGTTTTTTTTATATACTGTACTTTTTAAAATAAACCTACGTTTCTATTAAAATTTCAAGTATTTTGTTTTTGCGGCCCACATAAACTTAAACCTTTTTTATGTGGCCCATGCCAGACTTTGAGTTTGACATACTTGGTGTCAGGGCCGGACTGGGAAGAAAATTCGGCCCGGGCATTTTTTAATTACAGCAGCCCACTAAAAAGGGGGCGGGGCCAGTAAGGGTGTGTTTTGTCATCACCAATGACAAGCACGCCCCATCACAAAGTGAGCATGTTGGTTCAATGCTCTTCCAGGGTAGACCATGCGCATAGCTCTGCTGAAGAGCTCTGGCGTGAGAAAAATACCCTGTATTTGTTCTGCACAGCACAAGCAAATTTAATAACATGCTTGCGCTGTGTTTGCTTGAAATTTGTCTCTGGTGTCTCCATAGTTGGGATACCAGGAGACAAAAATGCCAGGAAAGCATATTGCGCAGTGTGTGTGAGGGTGCTCTGTGTGTGTGTGTGTGTGTGTGTAAGGGGTGTAGTGTGTGTGAAAGAGGGGTGCAGTGTGTGTGTGAGTGATGGGTGCTGTGTTTGTGTGAGGGTGCTATGTGGGTAAGGGTGCTGTGTGTGTGATGGGTGCAGTCTGTGTGTGCTGTGTGTGAGTGGGTATGCGAGGAAGCTGTGAGTGTCAGGGGTGCAGTGTGTGTGAGTGAGGGTGCTGTGAGTGTCAGAGGTGCCGTGTGTGATGTGTGTGTCAGGGGTGCAGTGTGTGTGTGAGGGTGCTGTGAGTGTTAGGGGTGCATTGTGTGTGCTGTGAGTGTCAGGGGTGCAGTGTGTGTGAAGGTGCTGTGAGTGTCAGGGGTGCAGTGTGTGTGTGTGTGTCCTGTGCGTGTCAGGGGTGCAGTGAGTTCTAGGGGTGAGTTCATTTTGTGTGTGCTGTGAGTGTTAGGGGTGCAGTGTGTGTGTGTGTGTGTGCTGTGAGTGTTAGGGGTGCAGTGTGTGTGTGTGCTGTGAGTGTTAGGGGTGCAGTGTGTGTGTGCTGTGAGTGTAGGGGTGCAGGGTATCTGTGAGTGAGGCTGCTATGATTATACCTGAGTGATTATATCCCCCCTCCCTGCTTACCTTTAGCCTGGGAGGGGGGGGATCCTGCTGCTGGGGCTGCCATCCATCCCTGGTGGTCCTAGTGGTGAGTGAACTCTAGCCTGTTGGGCTAGAGTTCACTCTCGCGAGACCTGGAGTGCTGCCATGGCGAGAGGAACCCGGCGGAGCTGCAAGTTAGAGCTCCTCCAGGTTCCTCTGCTGGCAGGCTGGCTCCCTCCCTCTCTCCCCCGGCGGCCGCAATATCCTGCCTGTGGGCCGGTGAGGGAGATCTTTGATCTCCCCACTGGCCCGCCGTGGACTACTGCAGGGCCGGCGCTCGGATAGTGCCGGCCCTGCAAAGACTGGCAGGAGAGATCCTGTGATCTCCCTGCCGGCCTCGGCCCATGGCCACCGCGGCCCACCGGGCATTTGCCCGGTGTGCCCGATGGCCAGTCCAGGCCTGCTTGGTGTAGTGTGACAGGGTTGAGGTGGCTGTGAGGGTGTGTGGGGTGGCAGGGGCTGTGACAGAGTGAGGTGACTGTGACAAGTTGTGGGGGGCTGTGACAGGATTTGGGAGGAAGCTGTGACAAGGTGTGTGGGGGGCAGTGACAGGGTTAGGAGGGGGCTGTAGTAGGGGTGGGGGCTGTGATAGGGTGTGAGAGGGAGTGACAGGGTGTGGGGTAGCTGAGGCAGGGTGTGTAGGGGGTTGTGACAAGGTCTGTGGGGGGTTGCTGTAACAGGTGTGGTGGGGGCTGTGACAAGGTAGAGGGGCTGTGCCAGGGTAGGGGGATCTGTGACAGGGTGGGGGCTAAGACAGGGTAGAGGGACTGTGACAGTGTAGGAGAGGCTGTGACAGGGTGGAGGGGCTGTGACAAGGTGATGGGGCTGTGAGACTTTAGCGGGGCTGTGACAGGTTAAGGTGGCTGTGACAGGGTAGGGGGCTGTGACAGGGTAGGGGGGCTGTGAGAGGCTGGCAGTGCTGTAAGAGTATAGGAGGCTGTGAGAGGGTAGGGGGCTGAAACTAGGCATGGAGGTGCTTTTAAATACCTTTTTAAGTCTCAACTAATGTATAGGGGGAAAGCTATACCAGCTATAATTACTTCAGCGGTTGGATAGAGCTACTGGTAAAGGGAGTACGTGGCGGCGATACTCTGGTGGTCCGCCACAGCATTCAATACTGTATACCTGGTGTTCGGCCTCATTTAACCTATCTATGTATTCACCCGAATTAATTCATTCACACTATCTCCTAACGCATCACCAGGCTAATGTTATTCTAGTACAAGAGCAGCCTGCATTCGCCCACTCTAACACATTCACAATTAATCCTGTTCGACTAAATGCTAACCTAATAAACTATATTCTAGTCTCTGCTAAATACATTTGTTAATTTATTGCTTGCTTCAGTAGTTGTCTGACATCTAGTGGTTTTTCTTAATATCGCACAATATGTATTTCTCTATTCTTGTACAGTATTACATGCAGGACAGTTCTTTTTAGGGGGGGGGGGAGGGGTTCTATTGCTTTCGTCTTTTTCTTTTATTATTATGATTATTTCTATTTGGCTACACTTTGGTTTTAGGCTAAAAACAGCTTTAAGCATTGGTTACAAAAATAGCATTTTTTTTTTTTTTTTATTCTTTATTTTTTCGTGCAATAGAATGTCCATACAGGCCTGAAGTGCCACGATAGCAGGACAGGCTTATCAACAGGTACAGTATCGTGACTGGATTGAGTTGCACATTTTAATTTTTAAAACGAATATAACATTAAAGTGGAAACATAGCTGTGTAGTGTATATCCAGAGCTGAGGTTACAACGTATATGTTGGACAGAGAGCTTGTGCTTGGCTGAGGAACTTGGGGCTTGTATTTTACTGCTTAGTAGCATAAGTAACGTGAATAGCTTTAGTTATCAAAAAGGTTCTACAGGGTTATGCATAATATGAGGGCTTAGGCCCTAGCGTACTCTAAGTGGTGTGGTCTGTCAGGGCTATAGAAGTGATTGGTCCTGTGTCTCCTATGCCGGCTGGATTGTGGCCTCTGTGTGGCCGGCTGGATTGTGGCCTCCGGAATTTGCGCAGTCCCCAACCTACACACTATGCTATCCCCTAACAGTGACCTCCTACATGACAAAAATAGCATTTTACAATAATATACAAATATATTTGTTGCTTCTATTGATTTTATCATTTATCGTTATAGATTATAATATGCTAAGCCAATTCAAGGTACAAATTTAAAGAATCTCACTGATTTCAGCTCACTACGTTTCAATGTTTGCTACATTTGTCTCCTATATGTAGAAAAAGTTACACTACTTATGTCTTTATTATATACGTTGGTCCTTCAAGACTTATGGGAAATCAATTTTATCCACCTAGGTCAATTCATATATAGTTCCTGCCATCTACACGAATAAGAGTCCACAATGCATATAACCAGGAATTTGGTTCCTGGTATCTGATTTTCCAGCAAATAGGGGTACGAAGGTACTTTGTTTACCTACGTTCTACTTAAATATAATTCCATTATATATACATCTGTCCCTTAGCGATGATAAGTAAAGTAGCAATATATTATTTTATTCTTTTAGAGAGAGGATTCAGTTGGTGTCCAGATCACTCTCAAAAGTATATTAAAGGAACACTATATGGTCAGGAACACAAACATGTATTCCTGACCCTATAGTGTTAAAACCACAATATAGTCGTCTGGTCCCCTCTCGGCTCCCTAAATATATAAAAAAAATCTTACTGGTATTCAAGTCTGCAGC